CCTTTCTTGCCATCCAGCTGTCCCACTGGCGTAACACACACCAACCGCTCCCTTCCTCAGCTGCCGGAACCGTTTCGAAAAAAAGTTCCTCATCTCCCCCTCCTTCGCTTCCATGCGCCGCCGACTCTCAACTGTTGACCCCTCACACCAAAACATATCCTCTTCCTCCACCTTCAATCCCGCCAGTAACGCCCTCCCTCCACATTCTCCTCAATACGCACTGAAGAAGATATATCCCCTCCTCCCTCCGTCTTTCGCCCTTCCACACCACACAATGCTCAACAATCCCTCTTCTCTGCCTCCAAGAAAGCTAGGCCTCGCAAAAGCACTCCCTTCTCAACCTCTTCGCCGCGAAGTGCCCGACCGACACCACACTCTTCACGTCCATGCAACGCCCAACGCCCGCTCCAGCAACTGCTTCTTTCCTTGACTCTATATCATTTCAAGCGAGAAAAGTCCACCACTCATTAGGGAAAAAGCGTGGAAGGAAATTGCAAAACCAGGACTCCCCACCACACACCGCAACCCCCAACCAACTCAACGACACAACAGTTAAGCCTCGAGACTGCCAAGCTGGGAACTCAGGTACGCCAATTTCTAATGCCCCAGCCCTATTCTTGCTCTAGGAATCAATGTCTCAACGTGGAAGAAACTAACAAGGCCAAGATTTCCCACCACACACCCCAACCCTTAATCAACTCAACGGCGAAACAGCCACGTTTCGACAGCCACGTCTCGAGACTCCCAAGCCCGGAACTCAGGTATGCCAATCTGTAATGCCCAAGCCCCATTCCTGCTCCAGGAATTAAGGCTTCCGTAAAATCTTTTTCAAAAAAAATTGCACACCTGTGCTTTTATTCTGCTTTTGCACTGACGAGGTTGGGTTTACCCCCAAAATCAAACTCCGTTTGGGGCTGGCGACGCAGTACACCTCCCCGAACAAATGCCAGTGACGCATCCTCAAAGTATTCATAGAACAATTCATAAGGTATTGAATTGTTTCTTTTCCCCGAGAATGTCTCGCTGCGGATGCCGATTCCCGTCTCAAGCACTTGGGGGATCGTGAGGGCCAGCCCACAGGGAAGCACCAGGGTGCTGAATGGTTCGCATTCTCCTCAGCTTTTGGTCATCAGGCAGTCCAGTTCATTTACATTGGTGCTTTCGGGTTCTTTTAATGTGTGGCGCTCCCAGTTTTGAAGCTTTGCAAAATTGGTGTGCAGTTGGAGAGCCGAGACGCCATCGTTTGGAATGGCGGGCGGTCACATCCCCAGATCCTCCAAGCTACTCCCCGCAGTGTGTTGTCCTCGAAGTGTAGTTCATTTATTTGTGGGTGTGTAACTAGTGTTACGGATTGGTCATTTCGATGGCTCGAACTTCGGTTTCTACTGAATTTCCTGTGTAGGTTGGGTTGTAGTGTGCGTTGAGAACGAAGGGACGGGCAGTAGCGGCATGCCGCTACCCAATACTGAGCGTACTATTTGTGGGCATGTGACTCGTGTTATGGCTAGGTCGTTTCGGCGCCCAAGACGTTTGGTTCCATGACATTTGGGGTGCGGTTGGGTGGCTGTATGCCTTGGCAACGAAGAAGCCGGCGGAAATGGCATGCAGTTAACGAATACTGATCTTGCAGAGCGGCGCTCAGTGGCCAGTCTTAATGGAGTTGCTTACATCGACATGATGCAAGCGGCAGTGTTGCAGTTATGTGGGGCTGGTCTATGAAAAGGGGTATGAACAAATGTGTTCAACACTAGGGCCGAGTTCAGGCACCTTGACTGTCTCTACATACTTCTAACGATTTCTGGACTTGTTGTTGAAATTTCTGTCAAAATTTAAGGCACAGACCAAACTACGTATTCACCTGGTTTTGCGCAGAGGCATTAGTGCGGCCCATACAGGGTTTTGCAATAGAGGAGCCCGCGCTTCATGCAGACAGTAACAGCAAAGCCACGGCAGCTAGACAAGTTGGCGCAGGTCTTGTCTCCTTTTCTTGGCGCTGTATTTGCGCAGGTTGACTGTAGATTGGTGCGGATGCCGAGATTGAATTCTTATTGTGCATCGTTTGATCGCCGTTGTTCATGGTTGTGTGTCGATATCACGTTCAGGGCCGCTTAAAATGCGAGAAAGTGTTTCAAGCAAACACTGCACTAAGTAGCTGACGACGGCAGATAATAAAGATTTGCATATGTGAGATGCGTGGGAAAATGTTTGTGGCGGAGCACTTCGTACTCCTCACTAGTAACTTCGTTTTAATTCAATGATGTAGAAATGGTAGGGTTTATGCTTTCCGGTCTTGTGGTAGCCACTGGGGCTGTTGAAGATAGCCTTCTAAAGCGTGTATTTCGGGTACTGCTCCTTTGGTTGTGGGATACTGCTGTACTTGCTGCAGTTGCGGTGCAACAGGTTGAAGAGCCGCATCCTCGTTGGTTGCCGTTTTCAGTGCTGGCAGTGTGCAGATGAAGTCGCGGGATGCAGTAAACTATTACATGCATACAAGGAGACACTGATAGGCGCGATGATTGCGTATGCTCACTGCTAGAAATTTGCTTGATAGTGAAAATGCTGGTCTGGCTCCTTTGCGCTTTTGAGCCAACATTCCAAGGCAGTTAAGAGTACAGTGGCAAATCGAGTGCTTGCTGAGTTGTTCACCGATGGTCCTATGTGCGGGACCCCACACTCTCACGAGAGGAGCGATTTCCACAGAAATACGCTTGCAACGGTGGCTGTTTAAGAATTATACAATGAAAACAATTTACACATTCGTATCAGATCATGTAAAGGATATGAAGGCGCAATGAGATCCGCAGAAATAGCCTAGCAAGAAAGAGTCCCTAATGTGCAGAAGCCAGCACGTAACATTGCTCGAAGAAAATGCCGCTTTGATGTTGCTGCTAATGCCACTTGACTCTTGCGATCTAGAGTGTCCGTGGTCTTGTTTCTTGCATGTACGGGCCGGGAGTAGATCGGCAAAAAAAGGAAAGATACGTCGTAGCGGTCTACCTTTTACAGGAATGACAGTCAGCAAGCCGGTAAACAAGGAGACGATGGGAATGCCACGCAGCAGAAGCAGAGGATAGCAGTGCATGATTATACAGACACCATAAATTTGTGCCTAGAAAGGCAGTGCAGTTTCGCTGCTGCTAGTTGTTTATCGGGCGTTTAGCGGCAAACACGTGGGTATTGCCTTTGCGAAGTAATCTGAAGAGACAAGATGCAAGGCTCGTGAGCTTTTGACGCAATAAACGTCTGGCCCACAGCAGTAGCCTGTTGGCTTTTGGGCTGTAGTGTGAAGGGGCTTGTGGTACTCCAAAAACACCCTTGAAAGGCCCAAATTTGGCACCTCACAAGGGACTGCTCTCCACATTCTGCTTAACATTCTGTCGAGAAAGCAACGATGTTTTGGCACAAATCTGATATAGGAGTCCAGGCTTGTATAACAGCTGCTGCCCTCAACAGATCTAAAAGGATGTACAAATATATATACACATACATGGAGAAGCATTGACAAGCAAGAATCTGCACTTTTCACATTTATGGCTTCAAACTAAATTGCTTTCACTTCTTCCCAATTTCTAGTTGTAACGTAGCAGCAAATAATGCAGTTGTGGTGCTCACTTACAGAGAAAATGCGTCTCATACTTTTACTTCCGGGCTAATGTTGAGTTGAAAAGCAGCCATCAGTCTTAAGTTTAGTTCTTGCTGTTCCCCATTTCGTCTAAATCCGTCTGGCTTCATAGCAGTTGATAGGAATCAAAAGACAAGGCTACGAAGAGGCGCTAGATCCAAAGAAATTGCCTTACAATTTTGGGCCTAGGGTACTGGGTCACCAGAGTAAGTCTGATGGCAGCATTTTTGAGGCTTCCCAATAGGTGCAACTCATCCCAAGCTTCACAGACTACGACGTAGGAAAGCGTCATGAGCCGCACCGTCTTCTCCAGCTGCTGCTGATGCTGTCCCTGCTGGAAGAGCAGAGCTGGCAAAGGGAATCGGTTGGAGATGCAGCATCGGCTGACGCACCAGCAGCGGCAGCACAAATTTTAGCAGCTGCAGCACTTTCACTTGCAGCATCCAAAGCAAAGGAGCAGGATCGCCTTTTATGTATGTATGTGTGCTCAGCGGTCTCACTGCTGTGTGCAAACAGCGTGGGACACCTTTGGTAGGGACTGTCTTTTGCAGGACAAGAAAAGATCAAGGCAAAAAAGAGGCTTTTAGCGTCAAGCCTCAAGAAAGTTTAAGCGTTACACTCTCGACCACGATGGCAAGCAAGTCTTAATGGGAGTGCGGAAATCGAGGTGATGCATGTGGCAACTTACTAAGTAGCGAGTAACACTAAATCATTTTTGTAGCCTTAAACCAAGGTGTTTCCTGTTCATCCAGACTGACGGTTGTAATCGTGCACCAAATAATGCAAGCGTGCCACTCATTTGTAGAGATGATGCGCCCGCTACTGCTGCTGGTGGGCTGATGTCTTTTAAAGGGTATAAATGCCGGGGATTGGCTGTAAACGTCGACTACGTGAACAAGGTCTAAATCTGCGCTGAGACACAATGCTTTGCTCAGTTTAGCTGGTGCTGTTTTTGGATTCATCTAAACGTGTCTGTTTTCATAGCAGTTGGTATAAATTAGAAGACAAGGTTACGAAAGAGCAGTATATTCGAAAAAGTTGCCTTGAAGTTTCGGGCTTATTTTGAGGATTCCAGATAGGTACAACTTAACCCACATTGCAAGCACTAGGATGCACAAAAGCACCGAAAAGCCACACACTCCAGCACGTCGCTGGTGCTGGTGCTCTTGTACTGGGTGCTCCCACTTCGCTGCTGCTGCTGCTGCATGTGCTCTCTGGTTGCTACTGCTTCTCATTTGTGGAGAGCTGAGGCCAGGCAAAAATTTAGACTACGGGAGCCGAGCCTTGAGCAGCGATGGCAACAGCTGCAGCGGCAGAAAACAATTCCTGCAGCACAATTCCCGCAGCAATAACGGTAGCAATTGCAAAAGGAGCAAACCTAGTTTTGTATTTGTAGCCTCTTTCTGAGAAGAAGAAGTGTAGCAATCTTCACTGTCACAAGAAACAAAAGTAAGATGCAAACGTTGGCGGCGACTGGTAGCCCGAGCGACAGTTGGCTTGCGATGTCTGCCGCAGTCAGCGGCTTGCCGCCGCAGGTGTTCCCTCTGCTGCTGCTGCCGCTCCTGCTGCTGCTGCTGCTGCAGGCAATGGTATGCCCTTTGAGGGTGACATGCAGCAGCGTTGGAACTGCGTAATTTGCTGGGGAGAGATAAACAAGCCACTTGACCCAGGGCGGCAGCAAAGCAATCGAAACGTAAAAGCCCCCGACGAGGGTCAGGGAGATCAGCGCGACAGACAGCAGCAGCGCAGCAAGCCGGTGGTTGCTGCCTGCAAACGCGGCAATAAATTGGCCCAGAGACGACGCCAGAACTGTCAGCAGCAGCAGAGACAGCCACACGCCCTGCAGCAAAGCGGCAAGAAAAGTCACTCGCTAGGAGCCGGAGATGCCTTTGGCGTTTACCTTTGCTGCAGCTTTTGTTTAGGACCATGACAAAAGGTCGCATGCAGCCAGCAGGAAAAACGAGAGACAAAACAGACAAAAGATGCAAACAGCAACAGGAAGGGGCACGCGGAGACATAATGAGACCAAAACGGAAATGGCGAGGACGCCAGACAGAGGGCCAAAGGCGGTGGGAGGCACAGAGCGAAAAAAAACAAGCAGCAACAGCAGGTGCAGCAGCGACAAAAACAAGCAGCAACAGCAACTGCAGCAGCAACAAAAGAAGCGGCACACGCAGCACACAGTCTATCTACACAAGCATAATTAGGAGCATCTGCAACAGCCCCATTTACTGCAGCAGCAGCTGAGCCAGCAGCAGCTGCAGCTGCACGCAGCAGCGACTTGCTAGAAATACGAGGGCGTCTGCAGGCCATGCAACTAGGGCGTGGAGGAGAAGCAGCATGATGAAGGGTGCGACGAGCTGCAGCAGCAGCTCTGCGCAAGTAGCAGCAGCAAGAAACGTGGCCGCACTGAAGAGCTTGCTGCTGCTGCCCGCTGCTGCTGCGGCGCGAATCGCAGGAAATGCATTGAGCGACGTAAAAGCCGGAGAGAAAAGGTGGTAGTTGCAGAGAAAGTATAGCAGCGCTGCATCACGAGAAAGACAAAAAGGCAGAAGTACGATCCGCTGTATGAGAGGTGAATCTGCAGCTGTCGGCAGAGACAATAAGGGCAGCAGTTGAAAACGAGGCCGCAGAAGCAGCTGCGGGAGCAGCAACAACAGCAGCAAACAGCAGCAAACAGCAGCAGCAGCAATAACAAGAGCAGCAACACCAGCCGCGGGAACGGTTGCAGCGACGGCAGTAGCGAACTCTTCAACTTCTGCAATGCGAACAGAACAACAGCTTCAACAGCAGCAAGCAACAGCAGAAAAAGTAACGAAAGCAGCAGCAGCAGCAAAAGCCGATGCAGACCCAGCCTTTCATGCAGTCCATCTGTGGTGTAGTCGGCCATACGCTTGAAGTAAAGAGATCCTACTATAATTGCGAGCAGCAGCGCCTGTGCTAGATCTGCTGCTGCTGCTGTGCCTCTTGCTTCCGAGATAAGCTGCCGCTGCAGCAGCACCTCGAACTGCAGCAGAGGGCTACTCGCCGCCTTTATGGCTGCTGCTGCGGCTATTAGCTCCCGACGACGGTTTGGTGCACTTGTTGCTGACCTTGTTGCTGAGGCTGCAGCTCGTCTTGCTTCGGTCGACGGCACTCTTTGCACAGAAACTTGCTGCAAGAGAGAGCCTGCTGCTGCACTTCCGGCTGCTGCTGTGTCCGCTGCTGGTGGTGCTGCTGCTGCGTCATCCACTGGCAATGCAGCCGGAGATGCTGATCTCTGATGCACGCCACAATCGTCAGTAAACCCTTCACCAAGCCTTAAGCCCCTCTCTCTGAATCCTCAGCCCCAAGTCCCACCGCTTGAGCATAACACTCTAAACCCTAAACCCTAAAGCTGAACCCTGAATCGACGTACTGCTGGAAACCCTGAAGCTAAACCCTGAACCGACGTACGGCTGAGAGGTATTCTTCTTTCTCTTTTTCACCTTCATCCACACTTAAGGTTCCCTTGATAGTCCCCGCTGCGTCCATTGCTGACTGGTGCAGCGTCAGTGCTGCTGCTGCTGCTGTTTCTGTTGCCGTTGCTGCTGCTTCTGCTGCACTTTGTGCTGACGCAGCACTGCCCACAGGTGCAAGAACCGGCGAAGCAACAACATCAACGGCAGCACCGGCGGCAGCATTTGCAGCAGCAGAAGCAGCATCAGCTATTGCCTGAAAGTCATCCCTCAGGACAAAAGCCTTGGGGTGTCTGTACACCCGAAAAATTAAGTCAAGGACTTCTGCAATTTTCGCTGCTCCCTGGTGTGTCTTATCTGTTTCTGGCAGCAGCAACTCCTGCTGATGCTGTAGGAGGTGCTCTATCTGCCATATCAGTCCCTCCGTTTCAGCAAAGTGCAGCAGCTCGCTACTGTTGCTGCAGGTGCTGCTGCTGCTGCTCCTGCCAGGTTGGTGCAGCCGGCGCTGGTGCAGCTGGTTCTGCTGCATCAAATTTTGGTGCTGCTGCTGCTGCAGCAGCAGCAGCAGCTTCTGCAAATGAGCTACCAATATAGGATAGGTGCGGGAGGCCCCCACTCCACAAGCAAGCTCTAAAAAATGCTCAGCGACGCAGCAGTCGGGCCGCGTTGCTGTTGCTGTTTCTGCTGCTTCTGCGGCTTCTGCTATTTCGCCGGGGCCCTCTGCGTCAGCTGCATAAGCGCCATCGTCTAGGCGGCGGCCAGTGTCACTCGCAGCAACAGCAGCAGCAGCAGCAGTGGGCTGCTGCAGCAGCAATGCCTCGTACGCTCGCAGCTGTTGTGGCTTCCCGCAGAAGACCAAACGACCCTCCGCTAGAAAAAGAACCCTCCCGAAAGACAAGAACAGCTGAAGGCAAACCAAGAACCCTGAACCCTAGTCCAAACCCCGAATAAAGTTTAGGCCCTACAAATTACGCCTTAGACCCTGAACATCACCACCTCGCCCTTCTAGGGTTGAGGGTTTCATACTTAGGAGTTAGGGTTTAGAGTTTAGTGTTCATGGTTTAGAACTCCACTTTAAGTCTTAAGCGTTGAGTTCTACGTTTAGGGACTAGGGTTGGGAATTAGGGTTTAGGGTTTAGGGTTTAGTGTTTTGGGCTCACCTGTGGAGAGGGCTGGTGAATAGTGCAGATAACTGTAGTGCCGTTTTCTGCTGCTACTCGCTGCAGCAGCCGCAGCAGATGCGACGCTGCTGCTGCGTCGAGGCCGCTGCAAAAGACAAAGTAATACGCGCACAGGCAAATGGGACAAAAAAATTGTTATTGCTGCGGCTGCTGCTGCAAGTTGACCGCCTCTGCCAAACCCTAACAGTCGCAGCACGGGAGCGAAGCAGCAGTAGCAGCAGAAGCAAGCCAGCAGCAACACCACCAGTAAGCAAAAGGAAGTGCAATAAGCACTTTCCGAGTAAGCCCGACTGGAACAGCAGCAACAGCAGCAGTATTAGAAACAGCAGCAGCAGCAACTATATCAACAGCAGCAAACACCGCAGCAGCAGCAGCAATTATATCAACAGCAGCAAACACCGCAGCAGCAACAGCTACAGCAGCAGCAGCAGTCGAACAGAAAGCAGCACCACCTTCGCCGACATGCTAGCCAGCAAATCCCACCACAACAACCACTGCAGCATCACTACAAAAGCTTAGTCCTCGGCAGCAGCAGCAGCAGCAACAACAGCAATAGCAAGAACAGCGGCGTCAGCAACAACAACAATAGCAACAGCCGCAACAACAGCAACAGCTGCAACAGCAGCACCAACAGCAGCAGCAGCAGCAACAGACCTGGTAGGCTCGTCGAGAAGCAGCAGGGGCTTTGGCAGCAGCAGCTCACAGGCCACCGAAAGCCTTCTTCGCTCGCCTCCAGAGAGCCCACGAGAGAACGGCGACCCCACAACAGTGTGCCTGCACCTGCACATACACCCTGAAGCCCCAAACCCTCACTCATAAAGCCTAAACCCTCAAGCCTGAAGAATAACGTAGGAGGCGTATGCGCAAATGTGTGACAATACACAGAAAGCGGCAGTAGCAGCAGCAGCAGCAACAACAACAGCAGCGGCAACGGCAGAAGCAGCAGCAGTAGTGGCAGAAAAAACACTATCACTATGGACAGTAGGGGCAGAAACGTCAGCGGCAGCTGATATCTTCTCCAGCAACCGATAGCAGCAACAGCAGCAACCGCAGCAGCAGCAATAGCAACACCAACACTTCTTCAGCATCGGCACCATGCTAGCACCAACATCACTAATCTTGGCAACAATAGCACAGCAACTGTAGCAGCAACAACGATGGTAAGATAACCAAAAACAGCAGCAACAGCAGAGGCAGCAGCAGCAGCAACAACACCGGCACAGCAGCAGTATGAGCAGCAGCAACAGCAGAAGTACGAGCAGCAGCAGCAGCATGCATGTACTTTTCTAGGTTCATCATTTGTATAACTTTTTCGACTCTCTCCCTTCTTTGCCTCTTGCTGCAGACTCTGCCCATCCGTAGCTTCGCTTCCAAGAGCAGCGTCTGCTGCACCGACAGCTGCTGCAGCAGCAGCAGGTCCTGCTGCAGGCAGAACCCCACAAGCCGCCGCCACGCCTTGGGGGCCTTCACGCCGTTCAGCAGCAGCACCGGCTCCTCCGTAGTTCTTGCTGCTGCTCCTTTTGTCTTTATTCTCTCTTTCTTGCTGCGCTGCTGCTGTTGCAGCGAGGGCTGAGGCTCTGGGCCCGCAGCAGAGCCGCCGCCACCCGCGCATGCAGCTGCAGATGTGGCACCCCTTGCAGCAGCAGCAGCTGCTGCTGCTGCTGCTGTCGGCGTAGCGGCAGTTGCCAATGGACGGAGCCTCCCTGCCACAAGAGACAAAAATGTGCTCTTTCCTGCGCCCGAGCCCCCCAGTATAGAAGTGACTGTGTGGGAGGGAAAGCAGCAGCTGATGCTGCTGAGGACGAGACGCCCCTCTTGGCTGCTGCAGCAACAGCAAAACCTGCTGCTGCTGCTGCTACTGCAGGCAGCGCTGTAGGATGCGCAGCAGTCTGCAGCGCTGCCGGCGGGGCCAGAAGGAATGGTAGCACCAGAAGTTGGCGGACGGCGGACAGCAGCGAGCTCCCTGCTGCTGCTGCTGCTGCAGCAGCAACTGGCTATCTTCCTTTGCAGGCAGCAGCAACAATTTGACAGTGCAGATCGCATGCTAGCCCTCGTGGGGGGCAGGCGGTAACTTGCGTTTCTTACGCACAACTCCTGCCCACACGCAAACCCTAAACCCTGAGCCTTAAACCGTAAAGCCTAAACCCTAAACCCTGATCCCTGAAAGCTAATGCTTGAACCTCAAACCCTAAACCCTCCGTCATGTATGCTCCAAGTGACCACGCTAAAGCTACTGCAAGTAGAATTCAAAGTATACGCCTTGGGGCTCAAGGAGTAGGGTTTAGTGTTTGGGGTTTAGGGTTTAGGGTTTAGGGCTTGGGGTTTACAACTGTAAGTTTTGTAGCGCTGAAGAGGTCAAGCCTCCCACTGGCAGCTGCAGCCGCTGCAGCAGCATCTGCTGCTGCTGTAGCTGCATCCGTTTCTTGAGGGTCCATCCCCTCATCCTCGTCGTCTTCTTCTGCTGCTGTTGCTTCTGCCGCGGCTTCTGCTGCTGCTTCTGCCTCTGCTGCTGCTTCTGCTTCTGCTGCTGCAGCTGCTGCTGCGAGTTGCGCCCCTTTCACAGCAGCGGCGACGCGCTCATCCACCTCTGCTGCTCCCTTCTGTTCTGCTATACTTGCTGTTACTGCTGCTGCTGCTGGACTTTCTGCTGTTGCCGGTTCTGAAAAACAGACACGGTGGGAAGCTGGTGGCCCTTCGACGGCTCTGGTCTGCAGCAGCAGCAGCTTCTGCTGCTGCGGCTGCTCGCGCATCTGCGCTTGATGTTGTTGCCGTGGCACCTCCAGCTTCTGCTGCTGGTGAAGCTGCTGCTGCTCCTGCTGCGGCTGTTGCTGCTGCTGCTGCTGCTGCCCTTGCTGCTGTTGTTCCTGCCCTTGGTGTGACGGCCCCTGCTGCCGGCTTTTCTCCTGACGCTGCACAAGAGACTTCTGCCGCTGCCCCTGTTGTTTTGTTTGGCTCTGCTGCTGCTGCTGCCGCAGCATTTCTTCCTCGTTGTCCATTCCCGCTCCTCGTAGTTTTCGCCCTGAGGTGAGCCCCTGTCCTGCTGCTGCTGCTGCTTCTGTTAGTTTTGTCCTCGATGCAGCAGTTGTTGCCAGGGCAGCAGCTGCTGCTGCTGCTGCTAAGGCTGGATCTCTAGTTGTCGGCGGCTACTTCATGGGAGCAGCAGCAGCAGCAACGCCAGCAGCAGCAACGGCAACAAAAGCAGCTGGGCGGTGTGTCCGGGGTTTCTCCGCGGCTTTTTAAACTTCAGACTCCTTATTTTATCAATTTATTTGTTTGAGCATTTCCTTGTTTTGGTTTAGGAAAGTTGTCGCTGCAGTTTGCACGCAGAAGGTCGGCGGAAGGAAGCGCGGTGACAGAGACCAGACCACCCCAAGATTAGGGTTTAGGGTTTAGTGGTCTAGGACTTACGAAAACGATCCCTAAAGAGTCCAAAAAATAACTAGCTATCACGCGGTTTGAGTTCTAGGATTTAGGGCTTAGGGTTTACGGTTGAAGGCTAATCTGCCGCGGTGTGCTTAGCAGGGGGAGGCCATTGAAGGCTGTTGGCGCTCCCACCCCACACACTGCAGGCTGTAAACCCTAAACACTAAGCCCTTAATCCTCAACCCTTGACTCTAAACCCCACACCCTAAGCCTCAATCTGCAGGTGAAGCCTTCGGCAGGAGCTGCACCAACACGCCCCAGAGCGACGGAGTGTGGCTAGGGGTCGGCTTGCTGTTGCTCGCCTCAACTAGTCACTAAGAGGCTCTAGCTAGCTACAGCTAGCTGCAGCTAGCCATGGCTAGCTAGCTAGGCTGCTGCCTTTGGCTGGGCGCCGCAGTGTACGCACACCTGAGGCCGCAGCCGACACGGTGACCTCGCCAACGGCACATCCCCTTGGCCAGTTCAAAAGATGGACTCAGTGGCAGATCAGTTGCTATTTATGAAGAGGTACACACCTCAGGAGCAGTGTCTAGCTAGCTGCAGCATCAAGCCAAGGCTAGCTAGCCGCCGAAGCAGGCTCAGGCTAGCTGGCTAGTTGCTGAGCTAGCTCCGGCCAACTAGCTGGGCCCTACCAGCTGGGACTGGCTGGCCAGCACAGGCTAGACATGGCTAGCTAGCTGCGAGTAGCTAGCGGTGACTGGCTGGCCAGCAGAGGCTAGCCATGGCCAGCTAGCTGCAACTATCTAGCTCTGACTGGCTAGCCAGCACAGGCTAGTCATGGCTAGCTAGCTGCACTTAGCTAGCTGTGGCTGGCGGAGCGTGACCAGCCGCCTCCAGCAGCTAGCCGTCTGGCTTGCATCTGACTGGCTAGCTGTGGCTAGCTAGATGCAGCTAGCGGGGGCTGCCAGGAGGGGCTTGTCGCTGCCTTTGGCTCCTTTGGCTCTAAACCCTAAACACCAACTGCAAACCCTAAACCCTAAGCCAGCAGCTCTGAGCGTAAACGCTAAGCTCTTCGCCGTGTCGCCCTACCTTAAGCGTAAACCCTTAAACGTTAGGTGCAAACCCTTCGTTCCAAACCCTCGGCAAATTGCGGGTTTAGGGTTTAGCGCTAGCTGCAGCAAAGGAAGCAAAGTTGCAGTTTTGCTCTGCGCACTGCACTTGGGGTGTATAGACAGGTTGGGGTGTATAGGCAGCATTACGTGTATAGGCAGGTTGGGGTGAATAGGCAGCTTGGAGTGTACAGACAGCTTCGGCGCATGCACTCACGCCCACTTCGCACTAAGGGCATTTTTCTTTTGAGTGTAATCTGCTGCTGCTGCTGCAGCAATGAGAGCAGCAAAGGCAAGCAGCAGAGAAGAGAACGGGAAGGATGGCGAAAGGGTGTCGAAACCCTGCGAAGCAGAAAAGAAATAAATGAAATTAAGTGCAAAACAGAAACCTGCGAGCATGAACAGCCTCAAGCCTGAGCCGAAGCCCTATCCCTAAATCCTGACCCTAAACCCTAACCCTAAACTCTAAACCTAAACCCTAACCCTAAACCCTAGCTCTTAGCCATAACCCTGAGCCTAAAGCCCGAACCTTGAGCCCCAAACCCGAGCTCTGAGCCCAAACCCCAGCTCTGAACCTCAAACCCTAACCCTAGACCCTGCTCCCTCGCCCTGGACCCCGAACTCTAATCCCTAACCCTAAACCCTCAACCCGAGCCCTAAAACTTAAACCCTAAACCCTAGACTGACGCTGGCGGGCTGGGCAGGAGAAAAGAAGAGGTCTAAGCCAAAAGCGAAAACCAAAGAAGTCGATTCTCTCTCCGAAGGATGCGCGTGTATCCCCCGAACATGGGGCACCTGCAGCCACAAACCCTAAACCCTAGCCCTCAGCCTTAAACCCTAAACCCTAGCCCTCAGTCGTAATTCCCTAAACCCTAGCCCTGAGCCTTAAACCTTACACCCTTGACCTGAACCTTGGACCCTAAACCTAGGGCATCTGCAGCCACGAACCCTAAACCCAACCCCTGAGCCTTAAACTCCAAACCCTCGCCCTGATTCTTAAACCCTAAACCCCAACCCTGAGTCTTAAACCCTAAACCGCTGCTTTGGAAAGCAAAGAAAAAGCTAAAAGGCCCCAAACGCACGCGCCGGTAGACCCCACCCCTAAACAGTTATGAGCTGTCTGTACACCCCACGTAGCTGAGGTGTACAGACACCTCAACTGCGCCACTCACCATGCGGTCGTGAGAGAGAGTGTCTGTGGGGAGGAGGTGCAGCACGGGGGAGTAGGGGGGGACGTTGTCAGGCACAGCAGCAGCAGCTTCTGCTGCTGCTGCTGCTGCTGCAGCGTCTGCTGCTGCGCCCGCAGCGGCAGCCGGCAACGGGCGCTTGGCGCTCGCCAGACGAGTAGACAACATATGAATCTGCTGCATGCTGCTGCTCGCCTGAGAAGTGCAGCAGCAGCAGCAACAGCAGCAAAGGCAGCAGGCTCTTCAAGCTGACCCTTAGCCTGAGGCTCTATGCCCTTAACTCTAGTCCCAAACCCTAGATCCTAAACCCTAAGCCCTTAAACCCTTGACCCTGGGGTCCGCAAGCCCTCAGCAGCAAGCTCCTGAGCGCAAGTTGGGGTGTACGTACACCTCAGCGCACTGAAAGGAGCTGCTAAACCCTTTGCTGCTCCCCCCAGTGCCCTCAGTGGCCCTAGATGCATCTAAGACCCTCATATCCCCCAAAAGCTCCTAAGGGCCCCCGAGGGCCCCTAAGGGCCCCTAAGGGCCTCTAAAGGTCCCTAAGGGCTCCCAAGGGCCTCTATTGGTCCCTAGGGGCCCCCAAGGGCCTCTACTGGTCCCTAAGAGCCCCTGAGGGCGCTTAGGGGCCCCTCAAAGCCCCCCAGTGCCTCTTGTCGCCCCTAGAGGCCCCGAAAAATCCCTGGAGGCCCGCAGGAGACCCGTGAAACTGATAAGGCAGTGCTAAGAGAGGCCGCTGCGGTGCCCCCGGGGCCCCTTGGGACCACCTGGTTCCCCTGGGCCCAGGGGCCCCCGGGTCCCCAAGGGGCCCCCTGGTTCCCCCGGTCCCCAAGGGGCCCCTTGGTTCCCGAAGGGACCCTGGTTCCCCGGGGGCCCCTTGGTTCTCCGGGGGGTCTCTTGGTTCCCCAGGGCCCCTTGGGGCCCCGGGGGCCCCTTGGGGCCCCGGGTGCCCGTGGGGGCCCCGGGGACCCCTGGGGGCCCCTAGTGCGTAGGCAGACCCACCACCAGAAGGGCGCGAGGGGTAACTCCCTGGGCGGTGGCCGTGAGCCCCAGGGCAGAGGCCCCCCAGGGCACTCCGTAGCTTCTGGAGGCCCCCAGAGGGCGGCCCACAGTAAAGCCGGACTTGTGGGGGCTGCGGCGTGCAGAGGGGAAAATGAGGCCCAGGGGCCCTGCGAAGCAAAGCCCCACAAACCCTAAACCCTAAACCCTAAACCCTAAACCCTGCGAAGCATACACCTGCACCCAGTCCTGGGCAGTGCAGCGTGATAGTAAACCCTAGGTTACGCAGCGCAGCCAACAGCACTAAACCCTAAACCGTGAACCCCAAATCCTCGATCCTAAGCCCCTGCAGTGCCAACCTGTAACCGTAAACCCTAACGCCTAAACCCTAAACCCCTATGATTCAAACTTAGCGTCTACCCCGTTGAGTACTTAGGGTTTAGGGTTTAGGGTTTAGCGCTTAGGGCTTACCGGGGTCGGGGCGGTCCTCAGTGAGAGTTACAACTAGCAGCTCGAAACGCGCAGCAAAAATGTTCCAGAAATGTACGTACACCGAGTCCTCGCACGCCTAATGCCGCCACACGCAAACCCTAAACCCTAACCTCTAAACCCTAAACCCTTGACACTAAACGCGAAGTCAAAACTCTAAGTACTCGATCGCATGGCCAAACCCCAAACACCAGTTTCCACAGCAGCAAAGAGCACCAGCTGAGCCCATCTCAGCAGTCGTGTGGCAACGCGGCGCCAAGTATCAAACCCTGAACCCCAAACCCTAAACCCTAAACCCTAAACCCTAAATTGTACAGCAATAAGGAGGGGCTTGGACGCCCCCGCGGGGAGAACTTGCTGATGGGCCATTTCTCCAGAGACGGTATTTAAAAGGTGCAGCGTAAGTGCTCCCCCTAAACCCTCCTGCAGACACTCAAAACCCTGAACCCTAAACCCTTAACCTCAGGTGTAAACCCCGATGTAGCGTACACCCCCCGTGCGATGACGGCGAGGGGCGAAACCGCACACGGCTCAAAACACTTTCCATGCGAGGCCCAAACCCTAAACCCTAAACCCTAAACCCTAAACCCCACTTACATCAGCAGTCACAACAGCCAAAAGGTTCGGGTCAATGTGCTTATACCCGACAGACACATCAGCATGCACAAAGACGGGCACTTGCTGCAGCGACCGATGCATGGAGCCCGCCGTAGCTGCACACAAACCCTAAACCCTAAACCCTAAACCCTAAACCCTAAACCCTAAATCCTAATTTTTGCGCGCGGAACGCCTTGCTCAAACCAACAGCATTGCGGGCGTGAGCGCCCGCTTATTGCACAGCTACGGCCATTCCCAGTGTTGAGGCTTTAGAGCAGCCAGGGTTTAGGGTTTGGAGCTGCTAGGGTTTGGAGCTGCTAGGGTTTAGAGTTTGGAGTTTCTAGGGTTTGGCGTTTAGAGCTGCTTGGGTTTAGGACTCACTGAGAACAGTCTGCTTCTGTGACGCGAAGTCCAGAGACCACGCGACCAAAGTCCCCATCTTCACAGTTTCCCCTGTAAAGCCCAAAGCGCAAACCCTAAACCCTAAACCCTTAACCCTATGCTCGAGGCCCTAGACCCTAAACCCTAGGCTTCAAGAACAACTGAGGAATTGTGCATGTACGCAAGATGCAAGTATACGCCTGGCTTGCTTGCCCTGCGTGTTCAGCCCCACCTCCCAAACCCTAAACCCTAAACCCTAAACCCTCACTGGTGGTTTGCTCCACTGTGTCGGACAGAGGCAGCACCGCAAACCCTTCGACCTGGCTGCTGCATTCGTCGACGATGTAAAAAGAAAGCCGCGAAGTCAGCAGGTGCGCCAGAGGCAGGGGAATCTGTGCAAACCCTAAACACCAAATCCTAAACCCTAAACCCTAAACCCTTAGCCCTGGACCCTAAACCCCAAACTAAGAACCCAGAATTCTAAACCCTACAGGCTAAGATGACTCCAAGCCAAATAGTTCCACAGTTTGGCATCAAAGCTGCCACTGGACTTGGGGCAGAGCCCTAAACCCTAAACCCTAAACCCTAAACCCGGAGCCCTAAACCCTGAAAACTAAATTGCATCAAAGAGGCTGCCACTGGGCCACCACCAACCTGCTCGGTAACCTCCCCAGAAGAGACAATCTGCTGCTGCGGGTCTGCTAGAGACAGCAGCAGCTGCTGCTCCGACTGGTGTTTTTGCTGCTGCTTCCGCAGCAGCAGCACGGCGCTGCTGCTGTGCTGCAGCCGCTGCAGCAGCAAATCTGGTGCCTGCGCGTCCGCCTCCCCAGTAGAAGAGACGCCAGCACTAGCTGCTGCTGCTGCTGCGTCCTGCAACTCCAGCTGCTGCAGCGGGATAACTGCAGCAGCAGCAAACTTCACGTGCTGCAGCTGCTGGACCAGCCCTCTGCCCAGGTCGATCCACAGCAGCTCCGTCTCCTGCAGCAGCAGCACAGCCACAACAAGAGGGCCCAGCTTACACGCTGTTTTAGGGTTTAGGGATTGGCGCTTAGGCTTTGAGAGGCTGCAGGAGCGTCCGCTTCAACAGCAGCAGCTGCAGCAGCAGCAGCAGCAAAAATAGCAGCCGCATCAACAACAGCAACAAAAACAGACAAAGCACCTGCAGCTTCTGATTAACAAGAGCAACAAAGACAGTCGCCTTGTGCTGCCCAACAAGCTCAAGAGACACCAGCTGCCAGTCGCAAACTTGCTGCTGCTGCTGCTGCTGCTGCTGCTGATTGCTGCCTTTGCTGCAGTGGCCTCCAGGGGTTCCCCAGTTGGCCCTGCCGTTTGCAGCAGCTCGCGCAGCCAAATGGCTGCTGCTGCTCTGTAGCTGATTCAAACAGCAGCAAAATGCGCCGCCGCTGCTGCTGCTGCTGCTGCTCGGAAGCTGCAGCTGCCACAGCAACAAACCCGTAGCCGCGTGCAGCCCGTACACCTGAGCAGTGCAACAAGCCATAAACCCTAAACTCTAAACCCTAAACGGTAAACTGTAAGTGCTAGACCCTAAACACTTTTGTCTTCAGGCTGGAAGTTGCAGCAGCAGCGAAAATGATGCAAATAATTCCCAAACCCTAGGACGCGAACCCCAAACCCTAAACCCTAAACCCTAGGTGCCTGCCTTGTTGTTGCAATTCGCAGCAACGATGACATTGCGCCAACCAAAGAGCTGGGCCTTGCGCTTAGCCTGCATTTCTGCTGCCAGAAGCTGCTGCTGATGCTGCTGCTGCTGCTGCTGTTGCTTCTGCTGCTGCTGCAGACCCAGAGCTTGCAGCTTCGCAGCAGCAGACAGTTTGAAATTAAATCGCGAAGACAAAATGCCGCGGCCTGCTGCTGAATAAACAAACCCCAAACCCCCCAATCCTGAACCTTTAACCGTAGATTCTGAACCCTGTAATCAAAACCCTAAACCCTAAACCCTAAACCCTAAGATATAAGGCGCAGACACCACTGCCGCTGTGTGCCACAGGAGCTAAAGCGAAGGCAGGAGCCCTCACACTGTAAACTCTGTACCCTTTACCCAAAGGCCTAAACCCTAATCCCTAAACCCTAGACCCTAAACCCTAAACCCTCGCCTGACCAGTCACTGGGAGATGTTCTTCTCCTCTGCCCAGCAGAGAAGCAACGAAGTTTACACCCTTCAAGACAAGCGCAGCAGCAGCATCAACTGCAGCACCACCGACCGCAGCAGCCAAAGCAGCTACTGTTGCTGCTGCCTCTGCTGCTGCTGCTGCTGATGCTCGCACGAGGTCATGCCCAGCAACAGCTTCCGCTGCTGCCTCGTTCTCTGCAGCACCAGGCCCACCACACGCAAAACCCTAAACCCTAAACCCTAAACCCTAATTCGCGTTTAAACATGCAAGCAACAAGATGGCTGCCACTGACCAATTAGCGCCCTGCAGTGTACAGCGCTTATCATTCGATTTACACTCAAGGGTTTAGGGTTTAGGGTTTAGGGTCTAGGGTTTGACAAACCGCCATCTCCAACCGCCGGCAGTAAACCAACAGCAGCTGCGCTGATGAGTCCTAAACCCTCTTCTCTAATCCAGGCGACTCCTTGGCCTTTGCTGAGCAGCAGCAGCGAGAAGTCTGAGAGCAGCAGCAGCAGCAGCTGCTGTTGCTGCTGCTGCGGACCAGCAGCAGCAGCCAAGGCCGATGCAGCCTGCTGGTCCCGAGGGGACACACCAACGCCCGCCCATGCTGCTGCTGCTGCTGCTGCTGTTGGCAGCTGCTCCCTGCACAGAAACCCCACACGCCGCACCTGCTGCTGCTGCTGCTGCTGCTGCTGCTGCCCCTGCATCATTACCTGCTGCTGCTAGATTTGCTGCTGCTGCAGGGCCTGCTGCTGCTCCGCTGTCACTGCTGCTGTTGCTGTTGCAGTTGCGCCGCCTTAGCTACCCTCTACGGCAAACTTCACTCGAAATCAAAAACCCTAAACCCTAAACCCTAAACCCTTACGTGAGGAACGGAGTCTCCTTGAAAGTTTGAAGGTCCACCAATTTAGAGTCAATACGCCCGTCAGAAACCCTCACAGCAACCACGGCCCTGCGCAAAGTCGCGAGGGTTTAGGGTTTAGGGTTTATGGAATGAAAGCCAGCTTCTGCTGCTGCAGCCGCCGAATCAGCAGCAGCTGAATCGGCGCCATTTGCTGCTGCTGCTGCTGCACTTGCTGCTTCTGCTGCTGTTGCTGCTGCTGCTGCTGTCGCACAGTCGCTGGTCAGCAAGACATGCTTTGAAACAACTTAAGGGTTTAGGGTTTAGGGTTTAGAGTTACCTGTTCTGTCCCTTGTCGTTCTTTCGTAAAGGCGTGAGTGTCCACTCTCCACCCGATACCCCCTAAGGGCAAACCATAAACCCTAAACCCTAAACCCTGAACCCTACACCCTAGAAGCTAAGCCCTGAACCCTAAACCCTAGAATCTAAGTCCTGAACCCTAAACCCTAGAATTTAAGCTCTAAACCCTAAACCCTTACTGCTGCCCCACACTGCTGGTATGGCGTGCCATGAAGCCCTAAACCCCAAACCAAACCCTAAACCTTAAACCCTAAACCCTAAACCCTTACCTCAATTTGCTTGGTTGTGAAACCCAAACCCTCTTCAAAGCGCACAAGCGCAGAGCCAACTAGAGCTGTGCAGCTGCCCAGAGGCAGCAGGCGAGGGTTTAGGGTTTTAGGGTTTAGGGTTTTCGGGTTTAGGGTTTGCGAGGCAGCTACAGAACCCTCCCGAGACAAACGCAGCAAGTAGAGACGCTGCAGACAAAGGCAGCAGCAGCAGCAGCAGTAAAGACTGTGACAGCAGCGGCTGCAGCAAAACAAAGTGCAGCAGCAGCAAAAGCAGCAGCGGCAGCAGCAGCTGCTGCTGTGCGACTGCGGCAGCAGCTGCGCCAACAGCAGCTGCTGCAGGAGCAGCAGCAATAAACACGGCATCATAAGAAACGATAACGAAAACAGCTGTGGCAGCAGCAGTAGCAGCAGCAACAGCTGCTGCATCAACTGCAGCAACTGCTGTTGCTGCTGCTGCTGCTGTAGAGCCCACAAAATAATATATAAAAATAAAAAGGCGAAACTGAATTTGAAGAAAAAGGCAGGGAGAGAGGCTGCGCCCTGAATACACATGAACCCCTAAACCCTAAACCCTAAACCCTAAACCCTAAATCCCAAAGCCTTTCTCACGGATTCATTTGTTAGAGCGAAACAATTGTCCTCAAGATGCTCGATGTGGACAGCTTCTGAGGCATCAGGCCCCTCTTGCTGCTGCTGCTGCTGCTGCTGTTGCTGCTGCTGCTGCTGCTGTTGCTGTTGCGGCTGCTGCTGCTGTTGCCCGTTCCAGGCGTGGTAGCAGCTGCTGCTGATTGGACTCTTGCTGCTCTGCTGCTGCAGCAGACAAAAGATGGCCTGAGACACATTCCCCTCCTGCTGCAGCTGGACAGGCACAAGGCCAAGTGACCTGCTGCCGCTGCTGCTGTCGCTGCTGCTGCTGCTGCTGCTGAGGGGCTGGGTCCACAAGATATGGCCCGAAACAGCGTCTCGCATCTCCAGCCCCCTTGAGGTGAGGGCAGAGACAAAGACAGCTTCTGCTGCTGCTGCTGCTGCTGGTGTTGCTGCTGCTGCTGCTGCGCTTGGACCCGAAGCAGCAGCAGCAAAACTGGTGATATCGTCTCCCGCCTTCCACAGCAGCACCCCGTCTCTAAGGTCAATTGCATGCAGCGTTCCTGCTGCAGCTGCTGGCTTTGCTGCTGCTTCTGCTGCTGCAGCTTCTGAGAGCGGGTGGCTTACTACCGCCAGCAGCAGCAGCAGCGGCCCCACTTGCTGCTGCTGCAGCACTTGCCTGCAGTCTCCCAGCAGCAGCCGCCACCGCAGCTCCCCAGTAACTGGATGCAGACTTGAAACTGTTCCTCTTGCTGCAATAGCAACAGCAGTCCAATCTGCTGCTTCCGCTGTTGTTTCTGCTGCTGCTGCTGCTGCTGCTGCTGCTGCTGCGGGTGCGGGTGCTGGAGCGGGAGGCCCCAGCAGCAGCTGCTGCACCGGCCCTGCTGTCTGCAGCAGCCAGTCGTTGACGCCTACGTCCTGCGTTGCTGCTGCTGTCTGCAGCAGCAGCACCAGCAACAATGGCCGGAACGTCTGCAGCAGCTGCTGCCGCAGCAGCTGCTGCCGCTGCGGCAGCTGCTGCAGCATGGGCAAGAAAAGAAGATACTGTTATCTTACTGCTGCTGCTGCTGCTGCTGTTGCTGCTACCCCTCAAGGGGGCCCCGCTACCAACCAGTACCTCAACACCAAACCCTAAACCCTAAGCCCTAAGCCCAAACCCTAAGCCTGAAGCTTTAAAACAAACAGTGTCAAACTAAACCTTTAAAACATTGCAATCTGCATTGAGGGTTTAAGGCTTAGGCTTTAGGGTCTGACATGCGAGGCCCTGGCTGTTGGGGGGCAGCTGTTCGTGTCTCGCATGAGCCATCCCAAACCCTAAACCGTAAACCTTAAACCCTAAACCCTAAACCCTAAAATTCAAACTATCAAGCCGTTTGGTACTGTTCAGTTCAGCTCCAGAGACGGTACTCACTGCAACGAAGGGTTCCAGACCCTAAACCCTAAACCCTAAACCCTGAAGGCCTCGAGTCGGCCGGCAGGAACGCTCTGTTATGGAGAGTCCGCGCGAACCCTTAATTAGGGTTTAGGGTTTCAGTGGTGAACTGGCCAGCAAACCCTTGATCCTTAACCCTAAGCCCTAAACCCTCCGCCAGGTGCCTAAACCCCAAACCCTAAACCCTAAAACCTGTTTGGGCTTACACCCAAATGCCTAGACACTGAAACCTAAACCCTAACGGCCAAACCTCAGAATCTTGTAAACCCTAAACCCTAAGCCCCTGTGGCTCAGGCTACTACTTGGCTTCAGCCGCTCGAGACCCCGCAGGGTTTAGGGATTAGAAATTAGGATTTAGGGTTTAGGGTTTGGTTTGGCGAAAAGAAAAAAATGGCAGTTTCAGCAAACAGGACGAGAGGCCGCGAAGCCAACCAGGGAAGGCAAACCCTAAACCCTAAACCCTAAACCCTCGTAAGCGAACAACAGCAGCACAGCCGCTACGCCTCAGCAGCGCTGCTGGTTTCCATGGCAGTCAAGTAGTGCTGCAGCAGCAAACAGCAGCAGCAGCAAAAGAAGCAGCAGCAGCAGCATGTGTAGACGCAGCAGCCGCAGTACGCATGCGGCAACTGCTGCAGCAACTGCAGCAGCAGCAGCATGTCTAGAAGCAGCAGCAGCACATATAAAGGCACCAGCAGCAGCGCATGTAGCAGCAGCAGCAGCAGCGCATGTAGCAGCAGCAGCAGCAGCGAATGTAGCAGCAGCAGCACGTGTAGCAGCAGCGACAGCAGCATATGCAGTGGCAGCAGCAGCATGTGCAGCAGCATGTGCAGCACCAGCAGACGTAGCAGAAGCAACGCCCCTATCAGCAGCAGCAGCAGCAGCAAACCGAGCAGCAGCAAGCCAGCAGAGGCTCAAGAGCAAAAGAACCCCTATATTAGAAGGCGACAGGAGCAGCATGAGGGTTTAGGGTTTGCAGATCAGGGTTTAGGGTTTAGGGTTTGCGCTCTCCTACGAGGGCAAGTAACCCCACTTTGGGCCCTGGCTAGGGTTTCGGAAACTGCTGTGGGTTTTGAACTAGGGTTAGCAGCTAATGCTAGGGTTTAGGGTTTTAGGGTTTAGGGTTTTAGGGTTTAGAGTTTACCTGAAGGCCCTCCTTGGCTGTGCGCACATCAGCGATTTTGCCTTTTAGCTGCTCTGAGACCCACGCGTCAGCTGCAGCGCCAAAACCCTAAACCCTAAACACTAAACCCTAAACCCTAGCTCGCCATGCTGCACCCACTCGCAAAATGCAGCTGGGCCTAGCTGCGCTTCAGGGAATCAGGGTTTAGGGCTTAGGGTTTAAGACCACGCAGGGTTTACACTGCGAAGTCCGCCTTCAAACTCCACCAGTGCTTAGGGCTTAGGGTTTAGGGTTTGGAGTTTACTAGGGTTTAGGGCTTAGGGTTTAGGGTTTGGGGTTTACTCTCAATGTGCAGATGAGGCTGCAGCTGACGGACCATGGCCACCGCCCCTGGGCTTGTGTCGCAGAACATGATGCGCTGCAGCAAAACCCTAAACCCTAAACCCTAAACC